ACGATAAAAAGCCGAGTTACCCACTTACGAGATAATTATCTCGGCAAAATTATCTCGGCAAATGTGATAATATGTCGACATAATTTAACAGTTATGTCGACATCTTCTCAGATTATGTCGACATATTCTCAGATTATGTCGACATCTTTCAATAATTATGTCGACATACGTAACTCGTAAGTCGCAAGTGGATGGCAGAAATATGCCACCATACATTTCCTTCGCAAATTATGCATTGTTTATAGAAAAACTACAGGAACGAATAAAAATCTTTTCAAAATTACACTTACAGTTGCATGATGCAGTGTAATGCATTTCTTGCATACTGTATCAATCTTGGTGAACAATTTTATAGAATGTATCACATGTGTGTGTTTTAAGTTTTTCTTTCTTTCATATTTTACTTTCTGTCTAATATTGTATTTCAATATTCCCCACATGTATTCATTTGAAAGACATTCCTGCTAAAATGTTGTGCATCAAATGAGATATATTGACGTCATTTAGACGTAGAATATGAGGTCAAAACCTTATTCTTTCGGAGAGTTTAACATAAAGAGAAAAGGTCACTCATAACAATGGATAAAATCAACTGCTATCGAAGCCCCTTTAATATATGCTGCTGATGCCCTGCCTATATATGGGTTAAATGTATTGTTACCGATGTGGTTTCTATTGCAACTAAATGAAATGACTTCTTCTTTTATGAAATATTATCAGTCTAACAAAGACAATAAGTAATAAGTGATACAATGTAAAAGTAAAAGTGTCGTATTATTGAAAATGGGAATTATTTTTATACTACATGAATATGAAATCCGGACAGATTACATGTATACAGGCCAAAGACATAATTGCAACAGATTCGGTTCCCCTAATGAACGTGGAAAGAAAAAGATTACCTGATCCAGTGCGTTTTATCCCGGTATTCCGTTCCCCCTATTAAGACCCCTGCGCGCTTCCATCAGGGCCAACAAAATTAATTAATATAAATTGATAAGTTTGTTTTGACATTGTTGGAAAATAAGTATAGAGTTCAATTAAATTCAAATCCAAAGTTAAAGTACCTCGACAAAGCAGGAACGTGCTGAGATCTGGAAGAGCTGGCCGTTATCGAAGCTTTTGGAACCACTATGATACTGAATTCTGCAAAGTGAAATAGAAATTAATACATGTTTATTACACTGTTAGCATAAAGGAACAAAACATGGTCGTGTCACTAGCAACAATACCACTAGTTTATCACTGTATGTTTTCTCATACTGGAAAATAACATGTACAACTGTAGTAAATGCCATTGGTTAATCTTTCAGCTGGAGGTGGTTTGCATTTCAAACACAAATCATAACCTATAGATTCTTTAAAAAACGTAACACCAGGAAGAGAAAAGGGTAACCACAAGTAATCACACACTCTCTCTCTCTCTCTTGATCTTTAAAACAATTATTGTAAACACTTAAATCTCCAACATGATGTAATGGTGTCGGCAATAAAAACGTATATAGATGCTTATTCGATAAAAAAAATAAGGCCATCTGACTACTGTTTGTGTGAAATACAATATTATGTATCATGCACAGATTACAACGAACCTTCTTGGAAGCACGCCAATACGATCGGATCATTATCCTGGGGCTGAATCATGAAATGGCCATACATATGGACACCAAAATCAAACAGCTGGACACAACTAGAAGCCAGGTTGGAGGCGTAGTGTGCTAGTGAAGCAATAGGTTAGACATTAGCATACAAATGATAAGTAAAAATGAAGTCACGAAGTTAGTTACACAATATTAATGTTATTTACCTACTGTATAACATGCAATAATCGCTGTGTATGAAGCGGGACGATGCGTTGTTTGGAGACAAGTCAATATCGGTTTTTATCGGTGGACACGTGATGCACTCCTTTTGTGGATACTCATACACATATAACACCTTTGTGTACATAAGCTTTACTGGTCATTTGTCTGATAAAGGTGACAGAGTACATACCGTACTAGTCATCGAAACGTCACATAGAAACACTTATTGGTTGTGTTGCAAGAATCTTTTTATAATCCATATTTACCAACCTGAAGGAAATGTTTAGAAATAACCTAGGATAGATTTATGATATTCCATTACTTCCGACGTGGATATGTTTACATGATACACACTTTTTATAGTGCTATGGTATTTAACCATGTACTGTACAGTGCATAACATTTGTCTTCATATACATTTTTCGCTGTAAAATATAATGAGAACGAAAACATTAAAATATTAACACTCTAGGACAGAATCGGATCAAAATATAAAATTTAATTAGAATGAATATTTGGATATAAAGTAACCGTTATACTTTCCTTTCGAATACAATAATTTAAACGTTGCACCCTTTAACGTAACGTAAGCTCTACTTTTAATGCCGTTATTGTTTGGATAGGGTACTTAGCTTACCCAACATTAACCTGAATTTAGCTGAATGATTTGACGGTACTTACAAAGTTTATAGACCGACAATGCTGCCGTTGATGAGGATCCACAGGGTTGGGCACTGTATCCAGGGCATGGTTCACATGCAGTGTCGGACGTCTCAAACACGGCTGTGGCATTATAACAGCTACACTCTTTATTCTGCAAGGTGCTATATACCGCTTGGTAGGCCATGCAATACTGTATACATTGCGTGGCGCTCATGTCATCTCGGACATACGGGGACAGGATCGCGGTGGTCTTGGTATCATTCTTTTTGCATCCGACGTAGCCTAAACAGAGATAATTTGAAATTACTTTTAACCTTGTGTTGTATTTCTTCTCAAGAACCATCGATTCCGTATATGTTTCATGTATAAAATGAATTAACTGTTGTCGGATAATAATGTGTTTAAACTACGTAATACGCATTAGTTAGTATGGAATATTGCATAATGTAAAGAGATTCCCTCACAATGTTATGAGTAGCAGTCAAAAGACATGTCATGTCATGTTCTACAGCTCACTAACGACCCTTTCTAGTTTGATATCTGTTTTAAGAAATAACTCGAAATGCCGATTTTGAAAAAGTTGTCTGGTATAAATTAAATTTGAGCATAAGGAAATTACAAAAAAAGACGAAGGTAGCAAGCAATTAACTTACAAAAATGTTGCTTAGAAGAATTCATCAATACACAAGGAAATATTTGCACACGTTTTCTTATACGTTCTGCCGTCAGTGTCACGGAACGTGTTAGCGTTCTATGATCATCTATTAAACTATACATTAGTTAACTGGAACAATATTACTGTATTTTGGCTTTAATTATAGCCAGTAGATAGTACATGTATCGTATATATCCAATAGAATAAGTCTGTTCTCAAGAATATATTTATTTGAAGTATTCTGTTTTCTTTATTATTCAGTAATATTCTTATGATATCTAACTATTACAAGAAAAAAGACAAACGGATACGGAAGTGTCAACAAAACCGTCATGTGCACTCAAACCCTATAACATTATTAAATAAATACCCTTAAAATAGTATTAAATGTAAAACAAAAACGTATCATAATCAACACAACAAGATTTCAGTGATTTTTCCACACTTTTTTTACCTTATATACATATATTCTACACATACCTGCTGATTTTTCACATATTACTCCGAATGTCCCATTGGAGTGTTCGATAAGTGATCCAGTGGTCAGGTTGTAAACAGTGTAAATGTTTTCATCGACTACAGAGCTGTTCGTAATCATCCATCCGTCCCCGGCTCTCGTGTGAGAAGTCAACAGTACATCCTTCACAGAGGTCCAGAATCCATCAACGTTGTTGTTAATATAGGGCAGTATTTCCATGAATAATAGACGAGCATCATATGCTCCAGGATAAAACAGATATCCACCATTTTGTAAGCATGAAGTTTCTGCAGCTGCATACTCCATTGCCACCGATGAAGCAAATTTATAACAAGTCCCGTCCTTGCCGTACCAACTCTCGGGACATTCGGTGTTGTCTGCGGGTAAATCAGTAGTATAAGAAAAAACAAACAAAATCCGGAACATTTTTACAGCCATGTTATATTGTAATTTTTGAGGTAGAATGAAAACCGCAAACTCAATATCCTAGCACATTTTTTGGAAATAAGAAAGTTTTCATCCAAAAACTTCTCAGAATCGGTTTTTAAGACCATAAACAACTGTTCTTTTAATGAAATTCATTCTAGGCAAAATATATAAAGATATAGATAAAAACAACAATTGGAAGGCGGTTCAATATCTTAACTCATTGCACTGTAAGTTTATACAAATTTGAAGTCTTCAACTCAACCCTAATTAAGATGGGAACAATATTGTCTTGTCTTGTTTTCGGTATAATGTCACGGTCGAAAACAGCACTGTTACCCATTTTTTTTTTAAATTATTTAATACAAAAGTATATCTTTATTTCGTAATTATATGGAAATGGCCAAAGTTGCAACTTTGTGTTGTATCGCTTTTACGAGTGATAGCTCAATATCGTGATTCTTATAATAGAGGTGGTTGCTTCAATGTATAGCTTCAGACCGTTTAAATTCCATGTAATAAGTTGTTGTCACTCATACTTGAAGATAGGAATAAATGAAGTGTAGTAATTGTCATCGAAAGTATTGTAAAGGATATAATGTGATAAAACTATTATATCCCAGTCTTAAGATAATCACCCTTCAACATATCAAAATCACGCTGAGATAACAGATACTGATTTAAATTACACATATCTGTATAGTAGGTAATATCAGGGAAACACTCTAACCATTCCGCCGATGGTAAAAGGTGAATGAATTATTTTCACAAGATATAATTTTGAAAATTGCCGAAAGCGCATTTTTGTAGCATGGTGCAAAAAAATCGAAAACCTTAATAACAAGACAATGAATAATACTATAATTCAAATAAATAAGGGGGAGAAAACCATGATACCAGTCTCACCGTTTCCAACCCGATGTTCACACTTACCAAATAAGTGGCTGCCGCATGCTTGTGTTGAATTTCCTATCAAATAGATACCCTTATGCCACACACCAGCCCTGTACAGACTGGAACAAGAGCTGACCACGTCTTTGGTATCTGAAATTATTAATTTTACCATGGTTTGAGCATTAACATTCTTGTTAACTTTGGTACACTCGTTTTCAGATTGATAAACACAGTTTGGTTTGAAACTGCGGTCAACAAGTTGTTTATATAGTACTCTGATCAAATGATCACCACAACAATGATTCAGTTGTTAGAAAAAGCAACTGTTTCGTCGTAATTTTTTGGAATTACCAGACTTTTTTTGTACCACATCTTAACATCGCACAATATTTGCAAATATTAGCATATCTGAAAAAAATGTGAAATCTATTATACAAACCACAGTTTAGAATTGATTTATCTGATTACAAAAGAGATTGCATACAATTGCATACAAGTCATACATATACTATTTAGTTATAAGACTTTTCCCAAATATTTCAGGTTTGCATATATTGTTTTCTTTTCTGTCTTTGTAATATTTCGAAACATGGATTATATTGAATAAATATCGAGATATATACAGATATTAATATGAATCCATAATATCACGGCTAAGACCATTTCTGAGCGGATTGGTCGAGTGGAATACACTCCGGCCTTCCAAGCAGGCGGCCGGGGTTCGATCCCCGAAATCGCCGTACGCATGGAATATAAGAGAAAGTGTTTTTCTCCTGCCTACACAACTCCAACAACCCAGGTTGAGTATAAAATGGTCTGGGGTGGGTGTTGCGGTATCTGTGCTGTAGCTTTCAAGTGAGGTGGCACTATAAATGATACCGTTGGAAGCACGGTCCATCTACAAACATAACACAATACATCTCCAGCACACACACAGGCATACACACATAGGGAGATATTAGCCAGGTCGCATTGGACTAGAAGTTAGCGCTTGATAAGGTATATCTATGTACTGTAAAGCGCTTTAGAGAGGCCTATGTTAGCTATATCAAATGTTGTATATTATTATTATTATTTATTATATGCACATCTAAGAACGGTACAACAAACATACAGTGTTAATCTCACCTAGTTTATAGGCGTTGACAACGTCATTTCCTCCGCACACCTGTAAGGCATTACCTGGACAGGTAACCTGACAAGAGGAGCCGTTAACTGGTGTGAGTCCCTGCAGGGTTTCAGTACAGTAACATGACGAATGCTGGATAAGAGCGAATCCTTGTAGCGAAGTGGAGCCCATACATATCTGCTTACACTGGGTCAACTCCATATTATTGTAAGCTGACATGGTTGCGTTAATAGTGACTGGTACACTAAAACAGCCCAAATGTTCTGAAAGTACATATACTCATGGTATAGTAGTATAAAGAACATGAATAAAATAAATCAGAATACATTGAATTCTTTTAACTTGATTTGAATGCAATATATAAACTTGATTGTTTTTATTTCAATTGATAAAATCAAATGCTACTTTTATGACGGAATAATGAAAATGACGATATTAAAAAACGGGCCATCCAATCAGATAAAGCATTAAACTTCTACATATAACCGTTTAGTGTTAGTAATGTTTTACAAGGAGATCCATTGCGATACTTTTAATTTCACAAACAAAACGGCACGATATTGTGAACATTGGATGAAGGACATCAGGAATAATGTATGACTATTTATTTCTAGGAACAGATGTCACATAATACAACAATAAGTAGGACTCACGCGTTTGGAGTTCACAGAAGCTATACGTCGTTGCGGATTTGTCGTCCATGATGAAACCATAGTCCGATTTTGAACTTAACTTCATGACAACGGATGTGAGGGTTGACGACGGAAATGGGCGTGGGAAGTAGCTTGGAAGTGCCCCAGTGGCCCACGTGGTGATACCCAAACCAAACTGGTCCACCAAGCCAAGTCGTATTTTAGTGTAAGCATACTTTGGATTTCCTTGAAAATACAAACGTTGGCGTCTTTCATAACTTTTAATGATGTATACAACATCTACCTCTGACAGAATGCCCCTTTTAGGATATATCGCGTCTTGACACTATGTATTATACTCCGTTTAATTAAAAACGTAGGCACATAGTGTACCTATGGATCATACAACTAACACTGAGGTACGTGCAACAAATATTGATTCATGTTGGCACAATGATATTTATTTAATTAATTATATGCCAAATATCATAAAAGGGAAGAAGACCTTTTTTTGAACATGCAAAGCTTAAATAGCCTTTTCGACTTCCAATGAAGCAACATTTGGACTAGTAAAGTGACGACTGAATTATATCAACGTAACTGTACCTAGATAACAGTGTATAAGAAAGCGTTACCTTTTAAAACCATACGTAGGAAGTTATGTTCAGACTCATCAGTGACAGTCAGTAAATGACCCCCTAGCGAGGCACAGCGGGTGTACAAATCGTCTTGATTTAGTTCCTCCTCAATAAACATGTAACATTTGTTTCTGTATCCAATCCATTCGTTCGTTGGACATGAAGAGTTGTCTGTAAATTATAAATAGACGTTTTGATGTAATCCTGTTATGTACAGTTACACAACAAAAAAGCAGCAGGCATTAGATAGTTGAATGCAAACGACCTATTTAACTATCCTACGGTTATTTGCATTTGGTAAAGTGAAATTAATCTTTGCATCAACGCAACCTCAATGCTTAAATGTGAAATAATTTTCGTCAAAGTCAACATATCTTTTGAAACACAGTTTATACTTCAGCAAGGGAAACAGAAGGAAAACACGACTAAACATCGCAGATATGTACAGTAACCATTTAAGGAATTGAATGAACAGTTGAAACAAGTAATGGAACAACTTGACATGGCGAGCACGTATATAATTGAGACTGATGCTAGTTGTGATGGATTAGGATAGGTCGTATCTTGAAAAAGGGAAAATGGGGGCTTGGGTCACGGTCTTGGAGACAATGAGTTGACACAACATGGAGCTCGAAGTATTTACTTTAAAGATGGTTTGAGCTGATAAAGTTTTAGGTGTTAACGTTTCATACAGACAATGATCCGCTGAGAACAAGACAGTGTAGTATCAGCATAAAAAAGGACTGCATAGGCATTTAATCGACAGTAATCTTTGATCATCTTTACTAAATAGCGTTTTTCGATGAAAAAAGTGTTTATTAAAATGTATGGCTATAATGAATATTAGCTGAATTTCATTTTAGTGACATTTAATATAAATCATATCATTCATATTGATTCTTAAAAAAAGCAAAGCAAACAATGGTTTCAAAACAAATGAATTCTCATTTTCATTACAGGAATTATGAACATTGTTTATACCGTAGAAGTTACACGTTGTATTGACGCCGCCTATAAGGTACATCCCTGACCGGATTATCCCTTGGTCGTATAAAGAAGTACATGTGTCGTAGGATGGGTACAACCCTGATAAAAAAAAATTGGCAAGGACATCAATAAAAATGAGTATGATATATGCTCAGACTATAAAAATTAATTACACTTAAATACATTACATCATGATTTTGTACCATGGCAAAGAATGCTCTTGGGAACATCAAGTGCTGGCGTAAATTTTACCTTTAGCTTACTCATTTCAGAAGTCTTCTTGATTTACCTAAGGTTTTACACATGTTTAAATATTAAACAATATGATGGTATTATTAGATAGCGTTGGTGTATACATTGAGACCTTGTTAAAATGGGGAAAGTTCATCAGAAATGCAAGTCCCATTCAAACATAAATATTATCATATTATTAGGTCAAGGTGCCATTACTATTTGAAGTATAATACTCCATCTGAATAGTAATATCTCATCTGAAGTAAAACGTTCATTATTTATTTGTAGTACCATATCATTCATTTTAAGAATAATTTAGGTAACGCACATGATCTCTTTTGGAGTACAATAGTTCATTTTTAATACAGAGTACCATATTTCATTTTAAGTATAATGGTTCTTTTGGAGTACAACCATTGTATTGCAGCAAAACCATTCATATTAAGCACAACATTAATACTGAATACAACAATATTTGCCGAAATGGAAATTTAATAATAGTCAATTCTTAAAAGTAGGTACTGGATTATACAAATTCGTTATTAGATAAGTTATTTAAGAATGACATACATATGTTATAGACAGATACAGCATCATTGGACTTCGACCCACATGGCTGAATGCTTCCGCAAAATTCCGCGCATCCCGAATCGTATTTTTCAATCGGAAGCGTTTTGTCGCAAAGACAGCGAGTGTCCTGAAGCAGGGCGTAGTCATAGCCTATACCACGACAGATTTCCACACACAGCTGCACAGACAAGTAGGCCTCATACTGGATCACCGTCACCGAGCTGTTGGGCCGACGAAAACACCCTGCATACACTGAAATAATAAATGCCAACATTGAACAATACAAAATACCGATCAATTACAATAAGAAACACGTAACAATATAAAGCTGCTCCACTAAATATATAATGATTGAATTATCAATTCGTAGAGATGGCACATGATTCATGCTTTCAAAATAAATTTAGAACATATGTGATCATTTGATGATTCAATCGGTGAACGACTACTGTCAAGGGAGAAGAAGAGATTTAAAATGAATTAACAAATATTAATAATGACTACGACAAAGATTGACTTCTTATACTAAATGTTTTTGGACATGTGAATGAAAACACCAATGTATGATTTATTGATTATAAAGATACACATATTCACATGTATGAAATTTGAGGAATACTTCAGCATTGAAATTCACAATTTAAATGTATGATTATGAATTTTCTGTCGTAAATCGTTTTGAATTCATCTGATAGTGGATTTCAATAAAGACATAATGGAAATGTCAGCAATTGAGTTGAGGAAGGAAGGCGCTGATTAAAGCCACAAACCGTATAGTCGGTAAAATATATTAGATTTAGTATCTTAAAGCCCTAAAAGAATAGTAGACGGAACTGAGAGGCACAACAACGCGTCTTATTATTATACAACAGCACTTTTAATCTAAGTAGTAAAACTACTTAACGTAATATAACGTTTGCTGCATTTATCATTAATACAGGAATGATTTATTATTATAAGTATATGCCAAAGTCTAATAATCGTATCATAAGAAGACTGGGGAGGGAGGTAATAACAAGAATCATTTGTCATAATTACATGTATATGTACGCTTTTAAAACACACACTCTCGTGATTAATATTGAAATTAAAAAGATTGTCTTATGAAGATTGTGTGATCGATAACTAATTTGAATTTTCATATCGCTAACATGCGTCATTTTAATATTTGAAATAGACTGCGTATTGTCATTGATTAGCACCACTGGCAAAACTTTCAATTTTGGAATCTAAACCTGACGCCATTCGACAATATCAAATATATAGTTATGTAAGGTTAGCTGAATTACAATACATACCCTCACTCTGTTCACAAATGTAACTTCGTTCATTAGTGCTGCCACCTAATCGCCAATACCCTGCTGGTGATTTGAAGATGCCCCGTTTCAGCAATTCAGTATCCGTTATATTTCTGATTAAAGGGTTACCTCGTTGACCATTTGCCCAGAAGAAGCGATTCGTATATGACCCAGTCATTTGAAGTCCGAACGTCCAGAGCTCGATTGAACTATAAAAAGTGAGGTTTCCTATGACTTCGCTCAGAAAAGTTTCCTCTTCTTCTGTTTCAATTACAAGCAGATGCGAGCTGTGGTTAGCACAGTATACCATCGCATCTAAGAAAGATTTCTTCCCAAGCATGAGCTTGTAACAACTAGAATTACCTTTGATCCATGCATAAGGACAGCCTGAAAGAAGTCAATAGATGATCAAAATGTGCAGGTATATTTGATGTGACATATTTCTTTCAAGTATAAAGTAAAATATATGCCTGATACATTATTGATGTATGAAAAAGTAATTGGCCATCATCCGTAGAAATATGTATATTGAATAAATTCGGTTCCATTGACTAAGACTTATTGCAGAAGATCAACGGTAGAATACCAAAGTGTAAAAAGACTGTTTTTCAAACGAACGAACTAAAACTAGATAGAACGATGGCAAAATATGATAGTATGCTAGATATGAAAATGTTCAAGGAAAATTGAACAATGAGTTACAGACGAAATTTCGTGTTGCAAGTCAGTCAGCATTCGACATCTATTGCGGAAATCATGATACATGTACTTGGAGCAAACCCGTAAGTATCGAATCAAGAGTGACATTTAAACATATATTAGGGTGAAACAGCTATCAATAAAGAAATCATTCAACACAGGGAAACCAGTTCTCTATACATTGATAGATCTAATAGATGTATTCAACTTATAGAGTGAATATAATTGCTCTCATGTGCCTATATTCTGGTGTACATAATGTTTAAAAAGGCCGTAAGTATGATCCCAGCTTATTCAGAGCATGCTAAAGAATGAGTGGTTCTAAATGTATCTAAATTCAGCTGTTGTAGCGTTTGCTTGGTGTTAAAAGAAGACTTGGAAGCAATAGGTTTAGAGTTACATGTTTGAATTTAGTATGGTTATTTTGTTGGAAGAAAAAAGATTGGCTCCGACGCCAAGGACGGATCCCGCACTAGCGGAATGCCTAACCCCTCCTTGATCACAGACAAGGCCCATGCGTCTTCCGTAATTTCCTTCCACTCTGGAAGGAAAGCAGAAAGACGACCCCCCACAGGAAGATCTGGTCGAGGCAGATCGAGACCTTGCCAGGCAAGAGAATCGTCTGCTGACCCGAATCCTGATCCTGCGGGAGAAGGACCTAAGCTTGAGCCGAGAGGACTGCAGTCCTCCCGGTCAAACTCGTCGTCTGACACGACCAAGGAGGGAAGAAGAGAGTGGACCCTGAGAAGGGGGCAGTCAACAACCTGGAGCGGTAAGGCTCATCGACCGGGCGGTTTTTCAAAACTGAAAACCGCCTAGCCAACAAGACATTGACGAGCGATGACACCTGTAAAGCTGCCAGCGCTCTCAATGCCCCGTTCAGGGCAGAGGTCACTCTGTCCTGGATGTCGGCCTGCTCTGTCTCGGTAATCCGACCCTCAGGCAAGTCGGATACCCTATATAGACAAACCGTCAGGTTGTCTATATAAGACAGAATCTAGATGGAGAGACGCAGCATTCTCTCCATCTTGTGGTGTTCTTTGGGACAGAACACCACCTGGTCCCCCGATTTACCGGGCCAGCCTGCAAGTTCCCTCGATTCCAGCTTAGCTGGTTGAGGGGCAAGCAGGCCATCATGTGTGGCATAGTCAGTGGCGTGCACTTCTGACAAATCGCCAACACTGAGCTGCAACCCAGCATACCCAGGACTACGGGTTGAAGAAGAATTCTTCTCTAAAACCCGAGACTGGGCGGTGGCCAGAGCTGAAGACACAATGGTGCCTTCTGGCAGAGAGCGGTCCGACCGAGCGGACACCCGAGGAGCCACCAAAGAACCCAAAAGGGTGGTGGACTCGGGGACAGATGATGCCGAAGGTGGTGGGCAAACCTCCTCCCCAAGAATCCGGGAAACGTCAGCCCTAAGGCCCCGCATACCGGATAACACATGCTGGGCCTCAACCTCAGCAGCCTCAGGGTCTCCCTCATCCTGGAAGTCCTCCTCTGAGGGCAAGCCCTCCTGAGGACTGTCGTCAGACGACTCGGAAAGACCAGCGTCTATATCCGAACAACCAGGTGAAAGATGAACAACATCATTGTCCTCTGCCATACCCGCGCCCTCAACGTCCATAGCCTCCACACCATCCAGACCAGAAGCCTGGGGCGGAGGAAATGGGCCAGCCAGAGGGGCCAACCCGAGAGAAGGCTCCCCGTACCGGCGTTTAGGTGCAGTGCGCCTAACGGCCGTGGCTGTAGGTTTAGGCTTAGTAGCCAAAACCCTACCCTTGGACCCAGAGACCAACGAGCCTGCCCGAGAGGCAGAAGTCCTAAAGGTCCGACACACCTTCTTAGGACCGGCCGATAAGGCCCCCGAAGTAGCAGAAAGTTGGGGGGGGTCAACAGAACTGCTAACACGTCTCCGCGAGGGAGAGACCAAACCCCAAGGATTCCATGACGGAAATGCCATGGGGTTAAACCCATATCCCGGAGGATAGGGGAAAGGTCCCGCGGGCTGGGAGTGACCCCAGAACTGGCCAAACTGGCCTGCCTGAGACTGGGGCTGGCCAACTTGCCCAAAGGGCGAAGGTGGACCGCCACTCCCTCCAGGTGGAAACCCGGACATGTACGGGCTATGCTAACACGTCTCCGCGAGGGAGAGACCAAACCCCAAGGATTCCATGACGGAAATGCCATGGGGTTAAACCCATATCCCGGAGGATAGGGGAAAGGTCCCGCGGGCTGGGAGTGACCCCAGAACTGGCCAAACTGGCCTGCCTGAGACTGGGGCTGGCCAACTTGCCCAAAGGGCGATATTGAACCGCCACTCCCTCCAGGTGGAAACCCGGACATGTACGGGCTAAGCCCGTAACTGCCGGGATGCTGTCGCAACCCAAAACCATCCGCAGGCTGGTAAGGGCGGCCCAAGGATGGTTGCCCGCAGGCACCCGTATACCCTAAGCCAGGGGAAAACGGAGGCCGGAAACCGGCCCCCTGTCCAGCAAACCCAACCCCTGGGGGGAAACCCCCCAGGTTCCCAGAAGAATGAAACTCGGGACCGGACCTAATAGGACCGGGTCCGGGTAACTGACCGGGAGGGTATGCCTGACCAGCATTGATGCCGGGATTAGTGAGCTGCGCGTCACTAATCCCGGTAGACACAGACAATCCCGAAAGAAAGTCTGTTGTCACACCAGGACCTGAACCCGAAAGAACAGGCCCGGCACCAAGACTGTCCCCAACGACAGCACCACCTGGAATGCCGGGATCACTGACAGAGTCAGTGACCGGCGGCCGGTAGTCCCTACCCGAAGGCAAGCGCGAAAGCTTACGGGCGTTCCCGGCCAATTCGACCCTTGGCTGTGCCAAGCCAGGGTCAGGCTGCCCCTCCCCTACTCCAGGGAGTTCCTGGACAGGAAGGGCCACCCCCTGCTCACGAGAGGGACTTGCCGAAGCAAGACCCCCCGAGACAGGAACAGAGACAGTACCACCAGACCCCAGAGAGCTGGTGGCACGACCCCTACCTCTCTGCTTCCCTCGCTTACCGGAAGAAACAGACGAATCTGTCTTACGGTAAGTTGAGGGTAGCTTTGGAACAATGAAGTCCTTGCCCTGAGATTTTGACTGTGAACAAAGTTCACAAGGCGAAACCTCACTGCAAGGACGACACCTGGGACAGGCATCATGAGGGTCCCGTTCCACAAAGAAATGGGAACACCCATGAGCACTACCTCGTCGCTGTCCCGACCGAGACATACCCTCCAAAGCGAACGTAAACAAAAAATTTACAAGCAGATAAAACGGGAAAATAAGGATAAAATACGATAGTACAAAGTACGCAACGTAGAAAGAATTTCACCCGTAATATAAATCAGAAAACGGTTAAAATAAATAACGTTTGCCGAAACAAACAACCGTCACCGAAATAAACAGAGGTCGGAAATTAACCCACGATAATGGCGGACCGTGGCACACCACNAATGAGAGTCCCGTTCCACAAAGAAATTGGAACACCCATGAGCTCTACCTCGTCGCTGTCCCGACCGAGACATACCCTCCAAAGCGAAAGTAAACAAAACATTACAAGCAGATAAACACGGGGAAAAATAATAAAATACGATAGTACAAAGTACGCAACGTAGAAAGAATTTCACTCGTAATATAAATCAGAAAACGGTTAAAATAAATAATGTTTGCCGAAACAAACAACCGTCACCGAAATAAACAGAGGTCGGAAATTAACCCACAATAATGGCGGACCGTGGCACACCACCGGCACACGTGGAGTAAAATAACCGGCCGTAAAAGGCACAGAAATATTTTCAACAATAATTAATTGTATTAACAAGGGCAGATTGATATAAGGCACACAAACTGCGCAATACATTGAGTTGACACTCGAACCAAACCGACAAAACAAAGTTTTGAAATGGAACAAGCTCCGGGCGTCAGCAGGCAGCAGGCGCCATAAAAGGAAGAGGAAGGGAGATCATTCCGTGGCTCTGTCGTCGAGATATGGGTTACGTCACGGTAGGGAGGTAGGGATATTTGAATCTTTTGTTTTGGGGCTACAAAGATGGGTGTAGGTATTGAATATGCATACTAAAGTTATGGTAATTATTACTGAAATGAAAACACTTTTTCAGACACATAGGCTAACATAAATTCATAGGTTCACGAACGTACACGTGATTTACTCCTTACGTAAATAATATAACACTATTCTGGTTTCATTCCTAGCTAATTACTAATTGAGAATGATTTTGTAAGGAAAATTTCTCGATTGTTGCAATACTGCATTTCGTTAATACGGAAATCAAATTACAACAATCAGTGTTAAGTATTAGGATCGAGTGTAGGATAAACGCAAGATGAGATTGTCTACAAACACTGTGTGGTCGCTCTTGTTGAACAAAATATAATTTTTACAGTTCTTGTAACTAATATTATAATTAAGTCCATCTGCTATGCAGTGTGATGATACCTTCACGAACAGTTCGGTATGCAATATATAAGTAGCTTTCATTTCCAGGTCAAAAGGTGTAAAACTGGATGATGATGTTTACCTTTATCTTCCCAGTACCAAATATTAATAACATTTATATTTGTTTAGGATTCCGTCGACCATATAGTAGATTAATTTCAAATATTCTAATTTCTTTTGACCTCTATGAAACTAGTTGAAACGCAATAATCATGTATTATATTAGCCAGTATGATAACCTCTATACACAAAATAATTCTCTTTTTAATAGGTTAATGGTACCAACAGCAAACTTATTGAATAATGTTGTCTCGAGAATATGGCAAACGTTATAAGGAAACATATCAATCGTTGTTGTGACGAAATACTATACCTGTGCTTTCACAGACGGTTGAATTATCGAAACCGCTCAGTTTGTACTTGTCTCCTGTAAGTCCCTGTGATTGTAGGTCCTCGCATGACGTAGCCATTGTTGTGTTAGATACTATAACAAAGAGTTAAACAAAGAAATAATGTTAACCACATGTCGATCAGTGATGCTTTCATGTCTGTATCGCGATTTTTTTAATGTTTAGGGAGTTATTGTTTAGAACCAGGGAGAATTTAAGCATGTAATATTCTAAAGTTACATTAAAAAAGTAAAGAAAAAACATTGTTTAATGTTTACAAACATACAGTTACAGTGGGAGGCAACATCAGTTATCATCAGACTTTCATCATAGTACGGTTCTATAGGTATAGAGGGAATTTTAAAAATAAGGATTGAAATACAAATGTAGAAGTTGTTGTTAGCAAAAATCTAGCTTTACGATTAACGTTCAATGGTTTCCAAAACTCTTTAATACCCAGGGGCGTACGATTGAGTTTTGCACCAATTTGAAAACCATGAGGGTAGAATGTCCGGATCCTATACCCTGGGCATAAAAGAGCATTTTTCTCTCATTCTTATCACCAGCCTAAACTCGGAGACCACAAAAAGGCGTCGGAGATTCTGTATCAAAGTAGTGGAATGTTCCCGATTTTTTAAACAGCACATCATTGTTGTCCTTTTTTGACGTCATGCACGTGAAATGAGGTGCTAGATAGAAATGTCTAACATCTATTTATTTCATTGGACAGTTCTGTCAAATACGCTCAGAAATGAGAGAAATGAATATCTTCATCAATAGATTTTTAAATTACATTTGAGTACAAGAAGTTTTGTTTATTTCCTTTAAGGAATGATGTGCTGTATACACTAGTTGTGGTTGTCTGACGTTTAAATAGAAAATCCTCGGTTTCTTTTCTTCAGCAACATTATTAAAGGCTTTTACGTGTTTTATTAATAAACAGTCCTTACTAATAATGAGGTTTATAAAATCTTATGTCATTTCATGTAAGTTATACAATAATACCGAAAGTTACATAACAAAGTGATAGATTGGTGGATTTCTTCGTCCCCGAGGTTTGCCGTAATATTGACGGCTACTATTATCTCTTTTGAATAATGACAGTGTTCTTCATATACACACAACATGATATAAAATCAACCAGCTCTCCTATAATATACATGATGAATTTTAAATAATCTTTCATCAGTGAACTCTTTCGTCTTTAAAATTTGAACTAGAAAATAATAAGACAGCTAGTATATCCACAAGAACATAATAACAACCCAATATATATTATATAATGATAATATATATAAACATGTTATATGACACAGCAAATATCATCACACACCCCGTGAAATCACGCACAAAAAATCCCCACTACAGTCTCTATATTTCCTGAAATATAATAAATCAGTCAGTAGATTCACTAGATTACAATAACTCGGTCAGTTGATGGCATGACGATGTTATGTCACATGGAGCATTATTATTCCTCATAATGGCCGCATACTAAAGCGAAATAAACTAAAGTAATTGCTTATTATGGAATTATTGGCGGTAACTTACAATTGGCGGCGGTGTAGTACCCAGACACCGTTCCTCCACACATCTGCTGGCTATTTGCCGGACATCTGCTGTCACAGTTCGCAAATGACGTCAAAGAGCCTGCAGGGAGATCCCCAACACAGTAGCATGTTTCATTTCTAGCGAGGGAGAAAGGTGCGTTACGGGCTAGGCATGCCTGCATACACATTGTCAGTGTCATGTCTTTAAGTGTTGCATTCCATGTGACATTGTCCAGGCCACTTCCTTCGTGTATGCAGCGTATGTTTTCTACGGTAGAAGAATTTCTTTTAAACATTGAAATGCCTGCATTACAGATTAGTATTTGTAGGTTTTCAAAATATGCAATATTTGAAATACGGATTTCTAACGCAACAAATTTAAATAAAATACAACATCATGCAAAAAAGTATGATAACATTTGAAATGGAAATTTGCTTTTGAAAATCTGGTATTCAGATAATAATGTTCATAATTATAAAGCTGACGAAACCTGTTATAGAAAACAGTAGGAAATACTACCTCTTGATAGTTTGCAAATAGCGTTGGTTGCATCTGCGCATGAGTGGCTGTACCATAGCCCATCATTTTCAAACAGCACGACGCAGTTAAGGGTCTCGTCTACAGGTTCAGTGGCAGCAAACTGCTGTTCCGTTAGCAAATTCCCGTCATTCCACGAATAGGCAGTTAAAGAATTGGGGTCAAATAACCCGGTGAACCATTTTTTGGAAAGGGTAGTTGATCCCTGGTATTCCTCAAAACCTTTACCAAATCAAAACAGAAATAAACAACTGCATATATTATAATATTGCAAATTTGAACATCGAAGAACCAAAGTATCGGCTGTCTAACAAAAAAGGTTGTTTTTTTTACAAAGATTCTGTGTGTTATTTATTAAGAAAAAAATATTAGAATTTAAAGCTAAGAATCAATTGTGATAGGGATACTTTATATACTTGGAGTACTATCGGCGTGGTTTGGCATTTATATTTACTAAATGTGTCTATACCACACATAAATCATTAAGGGGATCGCTGAACGGTACCACTGCCTCAGTTATAATTGCCAAGAAGAATTCCGCTCAGAGTTTATTTTCGTAATGGGGTGGGGGTGGGGGAGGGGGACTATTTCTCCCTTGTTTATATAAGATGAATCTACCAAACATATTTTTGCTGGCTTACGTCTTCGTGCTGATCATTTAGACTTCCTGGATAACAGCACAAAATTATTTTCGTATAAAAAATAAGTTTAAAAATTGTTTTTTTTTTTTGTAATTTCAATATCATTTTGAAATGACATCACAATCGAGACCAAGGCAGTTTTTCATCTAATTAATTGTTTGTGCGTTTGCAGATTGTAAATGCTTTTAGATTATTTACCAATCGATGAAAGGGGACGTTTGTGCACAATACAACATGTACTTAATAAAAAAGAGGTGTATTTAAAATGATAATTTTATGAAACATTTACCATGAAAAATAAAAAAATAAAAAATTCAAAATAATCTTAACATTTTTTTGTGGAAAGTAGATACAGTTACATCGACTTTCTCAGTTATTCATTTCTACTTCCTCTTACATGATTATTGTTAAATACAAATGTATTACATGAAGCGAGTGTCAGATTCAACTGACATGATAATAACATGAACAACATGATAATAAACAGTAGAGGATGGTGTTTATTTAGGAAAGAGATACATAATTATCTCTCAGTTGTATTATCTTTTGTCTTATAAGTTGGTAGAGATATGCCCTGTATTGCCATACTGCAAGTAAATGGCAATCAAGAATCCTATGAACCCATGGTGTGTTTACTCTTGTTCTCTTGAGCATCTTATATAACAAAATTATCAATAAATTAAGTATTTAAATGTGGAATTTAATTATCTTAAATATTTTTAACATATCCTCTGTTATTGATATTCAAGGAAAATGTAGATACTATAAGTTTAGCTTGTATCATCAAAGAACATAAATTGTATACATAAATCCGCTTCACCACGGAAAACGCTCGTTTTGTCACTTAAGTTACACTGAAGAGAGGACGAGTGATTTTTGTTTCCCCTGCTTGAATTACTTGACACATACTTTCTTATCCGATATTCCAATACATTTCCCTTTACGACTTTGACTTGTCAATTACGAAGATCCCGGAAACGGATTAATTAGCATAACATATGATACATGTACTTGTACATATATATTCGTACGTGAAATTTCAGTGAAAGGATACTAAAATAACATTGGTTGTTGTTTTTATTTTCGTTTATACACAATAGTAAAGACTACACCACGCCATTATTCCAACCACTTGTTATTTTATATTTTCGCTTTCAAACACAAACACTCAATTTGACGTGGATTACACGGACTTTCACAAAGATCAACCAAGAATATAAAATGTTTTAAGTTATTTTAATAAACTGTTGGTGTGCAGTCCGACACATTACACCCGACTTCGAGGGTGAAACTGTGCCTACCATTATACGAGGGTTCAAATGCTTTCAACGGCTTTATTCAGTGATAAATATCCCTGCAATTTATTGGCTTCTATCAAACATGGAGGATGTGATATGAATACTGTTGAAGAAAAAAATACAAGTAACAGTTAATGTTACTTCGGGTGGCGAAGTGGATAGCGCACTCGTCTTTCACTAAAGACAGCCGGGTTCGACTCCCCAATCGGGCGTGATAATGTATGGGTTCACCTGCCCGGGGGTTTGTCCCGGTACTCCGGTTTCCTTCCCCATTCAGATTCCATACACACTTCCATCCAGGTGAACAAGAGTGTTTTATACAAGATGGTTAACTTGTTTCATAACTGTTGTAAATTGAATAAAGGTTATATATAAACAATAGAAAAACAATCAAACTTAAGATGATGAATGTGGCTTAAAGTACTAATAGCTGTATTGTGTCAACCTGTTTGGTCCATTTAATAGATGCATTCTCTTTAGATAAATCGGAATTTACCTACCTTTTATTGTTGAGGCGGCAAAGGAATTTTGACCAGAATTCAGAAGAGATGCCACAGTTGCATTCAGCTGCTGACAATATTGAACTGCGTCCACAAACGTGAAGTTGCCCTTTTGGAACAAGTAGCAGTCATTGTTATAACCGATCCACCCCGAGGGACAGATTGTCCCATCTGAAATATATCAACCCAAGACATGAACAATATGTGAACAATAAAACGCATTCATCTTACTTAACCAATTTGTCGATAATGAAACAAACACGGGAATGTAAGGCAACAGTTTTTAATTCTCAAGAGGCGGAAACACATATCCTAAATCGAAGAGATCACAATGCTCTAAGTCCCCTTGTCGTATATGTAGCACTTTAACAGATATTTATCAAACATTCAGCTAATGTTATATTGGTAAAACATTAGTGCAAAATAGCCAATATAAAAAGCGCTGCTGTATGCATTATTTGAAACATTATCAACGAGTAATAGATTATAGTAATAAGCGTTTATCACGGAAGGAATTCATTTAAAAGGTTCTAGATAGAACAATATTCATTATTCATTTGTCGTTTTGATATAAACATTGGTTAAATATGGACTCTCTCAGTTATACTAAACTTAATTGAAAATATTAATTAATTTAAAAATTGCCATCTTGTATATATATATTTCATTATGTTATTGGGAAAGGGCTTTACATAAGTTGGACAACTTGTGCTCAATCCTTTTGCATATTAGATGCAAATAAAAATATGTTTAAATCATAAACCGTACCTTTGAAGTTACAGAACGCTCTTCCTTGCGATTTCAGGCTGTAATACCCGTTATCCTTCACACCAGCTTCGTACAATTGCTCACAACTTTCATAATCCAGATTCATATCAACTGAAAGAGACAGAAACGATAATCTGAGTATTCAACGTTAGTTGAAATTGCACTTGGGGGGAAAAGACATTAATTTCTGGCCTTTGGACAATGCAATTTTGATAAAATATCAATCAAATGATGGATAGATATGAACTCCTTGTGCGGTGATGATATTTTCCATTGCAACATATTTATGTCATATTTTCAATTCAATAAATATGAAACGTACTATTTAAATTTCAATGTGACATTAAGAAATAAAAGCTGAATTCATATAAGTCGTATCACCTGCCACTGATGGAAACTCATCATGTCTCTAAACAACATACGAACATTCTTACGACTGGACATAGGTCAACTGAATATTAGCCGCGTTTTATTTATTGTTTTCTCTGAGAAAGTACGCCTGATGACGTCAGAACTTACACATGGTTTTCAGGGCATATAATGTGCCATTATAAGGATTCGCATCATCGCATTTAAACGCGATGGCTGTTCCCTGTATGTTCGATTTATTGGTACATGCACACTCTTTGTCCCAAACAATAGAGTAAAAACCGTTTTCAGCAAGACAGCGTTGTTGGCAGGTCAGTTCAGTGTTACCAGAAACCGCAAATGTCGGGATTCCCGTCACGTTGAAGTCCGTATAGCAGTAGCTAGCTGTAATGATAAATATTGACATGAGTGTAACTGACGTGTATTTCCTGACTCGCTTTTGACAGAGTAAAACACATATTTTTTAAAGTTTCCTCGGTGAGTGTAATTCTCATCACTTTTCATTTTTTTCAAAATTTAAAATATCTGAATCGATACTTCGATTCAGCAAAGCATCAACAAGATACTACAACCCAGATGGACATCACAACCAACCAGACCTGTCTCCTTTCCATCACGTCGTTATTTAATTGTCTATAAAGTGATATCTACAATCATTGTTTTGCTCTTTGTCGTCTATTCGCATCCATCTTGTTTTAATCTTAAGCGCTACGTCGATGTTTAGCCATTTGATAGAGTTATATTTTATAGTATGTATCTAGAATATGACATTTCAGATAAAAACATGCAAACTGTCTTCAAATCTCCACCTTCAGCCGGGTTTTTGTTTTGTGCAGATCCTTGATATAAAACAAGCAAAGCAAAAAGTAGATAAGCCCTCATAAGAATTTATCAAAGGAAGCCAAAGAGTCGAACCTCGTTTGTGGACAGTTACAACTAATCCAGGTACATCATACAATTTAAACGGTCTGTTCGGGCATAGGTACATGTATATTTCTATATTCAAACGTGCTCCTGTAAATCGTCATTTTTTTACATGTTTTCCCGGGTACGGAGTTGGCTAGATAATACATGTTGTAAGCAGGCATCGTACCAAATAAAACTTTGACTCACATATAGTTAGATAGATAGATTCCTGGTTGCTTTCCCCTCCACAGTAGGCGAAGTGTGTATCCGCAATCACTAGAGGACACGTCATGTTGCAGCGCATGTCATCCACAGCGGACACGGTCGGGTCGATGTAGTTCCCACAAAAACAGCTGCCATTGGCGCTTGCTGCGAACCGGAAATCGAGTGATTTACAGTAGTTGGTGCAGTATAACTGACCAGTCAGCGATGTATTGGTAATAACCTGCAGTGCCCCTGCTGTGTAACATCCAGCATAAAATCTTGATTCTGAAAAATTGAGTGTTTACATTTAAAAGAACATACATATCAAGTCACAGTTCCAAAACAGAATAATTGGATATTTTTGTAGCACACATTTTTGTGGGTTTGGGTTTACAAATATAGCAAGTGATATACCAACAAAACAAAAATGAGAACATTTTTTGATGACGTCGTGCACAAAGGACATGTACCCCTTTTATTTTACAAAAAGGGCATCTGTTAAACTTAATGGCAGTGTTCAGCCGAGACTTTTGGTATAAGAAATCCTAGCACTATAGTCGATGTTAGAACACTTGATATGGAAATATATCCGACGTCCATTGTCGTAGTAGCGTCGTTATTTGAAAGAATAAATGAGCCCTGTAGAAAGGTTCGCCTAGTCTACATTTGCACGTCATTACACGCGCGCTAAATCTTTAAACATGACGTTTGATTGATCAATATTAAAAGTATTGCGTCATTCATAAAGGAAACTATTGTTGTTGTAAATAAAAATGAAACAGGTTTTGTGTCATAGGAGTTTTCATTTCTAATTTTAAAATTGAATTATATAGAATGGACAAGACAAAAAATGAAGTATGCAGAGTGAACATCGTTTGTCGGTCTCTACATCAATAGACCGATTTCTGATCTAGTCGAGTCCTTAAATAAACATGTTACAAAATATAGACAAATTTATGTAGCTGAAAAAATATGAAATAATAAAACAACTAATTTGCATTTCAGTTTTGAAATCAGCTTATGATATTGATACGTACTTCTACATCTTTCCGGTGGAGTCACACTCCACTGACCCGTCTCAGTACAGGTAGTAGTCAATTGAGGTGGCCATACTAGACTCTCTATTATGAGGTTGTACCCGGCCGTACAGTTGAATGTAACGTTTTCCCCGTATGTGTAGGTCCGATCTACCACCAGGTTGCTAAACGAGCTTTCAACTGGTGTCAGTAACGGGCACGTCACAACTGTATATCAATCAGATAAGGTGTTTACAGAACGAGTACAATGTATGATTTCAATATAAATAAATAATTTTCAACAATACCCATACAAATAAATATCCAATTGAATCGAATTGGAAGTACATACATGTATGACATTGATTAAAAATGGCATGTGATTCTATTTCATGAATCTTCGCGACTTCGTTTCTGTTTGTTGAATACGTGTATGTGTCATACAGTAAAACAACTATACATCGTTGATGACTTAATTATTTTCCAAGATTTGGCGGGAGATCTTATGATGGCGCCATATTTCCTGCAGCACACGTTCGTTCATCAATGATTCCTAGTTTCGCTCTCAGTTTGTCCTGTGGGAATCCATGATGGTTTGTGTTTGATTTTTGTCCTCTCTTCTTCTGGTGTTTTGTGTGAAATTATACTGTGGTATATATGTTGTTGTTTGTATGTGAGATGTAAGAATTGGTGGAAATGCTGTGAGTGTAATACACTGGAGTTATATCATTAATATGAGATTAAATGACAAAGATAATACATGGACCCTAATATATTTATCAAATATTTTCAAATGCGGAAATAAACCCATCAACGAATAAGGATCTGAAATACTCACCATCGCATCGCTTGTTATGATAGCTGGCGTAGGGCTGACATTGGGATTTATTTTCCTGACTAACAAACACACACTGACATGTGGCGTTGGTAACCAGTTCCTGGGAAGTGTGATTGACAAACAGGGCGTGGCCCTCGTCACATTTGATCGTCACATTTGTTAGAACTTCAACGGCATCCGAGTCAACGGACATATGCGATTTGGCAAGCTCCGTAGTATTGAAGGTACACTGCGGAACTGTAAAATAGGAAATATACATCAGCGTCAACATATAAAAACACCCCAAAATCAAACTCCGTACTTTTGAAGGTACATACATCAGCGTCAACATATAAAAACACCCCAAAACAAAAGGAAAAGCATTGGATATAAACAAAAAATATTGAAATGAAAATAACTTAATGATATATCGAAAATATTATTATCATAGTTATTTATCAGATAGAATCACATGCGGATTAATTCTAATATTGTTTTTTAGCGAATAACTTCTGCGAATAATGCATATTTCTTCAGAAACATCTAAATATTTGAACTCTTTCACAAAAAAGAACGACAGTGGTGCTTTGTGGCATGGTAGGTTTATTTCATTCAAGTAATTGCAGTTTAATTTAAATATATTAGGGTTATTTTCTGGATTATTTGTTGGTTTTTTTTAATTTCTGTTCTTACTGTTTTTACAGGATTACAATTTACCAAAAGAACAAAATCGTTAAAAATCATGTTATTTTATTTAAAACAATTTCTAATCAATAGCATTAGAACTAATCAGAATCGTTTTAAAATTATTTCAAACAAATAGCAGAGATTATGTGTTGCGAAGCTTCTATGTTGAACAGAATGGGTAACATCCTCAGTAACAATTAACTGCTTACAAAGTAGAAGCAAAATAAAATGGTAGTGCTGTCATAATTATTTCGTGTTTCATGAAAATAGTATACGCGGAACTCACCTAGATGATTAAAAATCTCTCTGATAATAGTCATAAAGGTAGTTACAAAAAAATATTAAAGTAATTTGTATATGTTTATATACTCAAGTTTTCATTAATTTATATATCTATATATTTACCTGTGATGTTAAAACATAAGGATCGCAATAAGTCAGAGCACGAGACGGCGAACCATTCACCATTTCTGTTGTTCATAGCGACACAGTTATCAAACGTCGAATTGTAAGAAGGTTCATTTGCAGCCCACCGTGTGAAGGTCGGTTCATCATAGGGAGGCCTTCTGGCTTCCGTAGCATTGACGGACTTCAGTATGTAACCCAAGTGAAGTTTTTCATCAACAGCAAGCCTGAAATATCATCACGACATTAAGATTTCCAATTACTTGACACTTGAATCAAGTTTGATACTTAACCATTTAGAACAATAATGAAAGAATACAACTATATTCTAGCGATGTCCTTAACCTTATGGTTAGCGTTCCGAAATCAAAATCAATAATGTTACTAAAAATGACCCTTTCTAAAGAGCAATTAAATTTTTAAATAGGAACGGTGACTTTTTCTTTTGGTCTAACATTACTTAACACGAATTCTCGTTAGCGATATCAAAGTATCTAAAACTTTCAACAGGTGTGGAAGTGAGCCTTCTAGAGTGATGAACACAATTGACGGACGAGAAGTAAAGATAAAACCCGTCTCTGTTTCATACTTGGGATATAATTACGTATGTTATGGCAGAACAGACACGAGAGAGTATTATACTGTACCCTGGGTAGTTCACTTGTAGGTTGGATGCCAGTGTGTTGAGAACTGTGCTGTCTGGAATATCGGCCAGGTAGCCATGTGTTGATTCACACGACGTTTTAGCGTCCAATGCTGTCTGAAGGTTGTCGTGTAACCAGTAACACAGCATACCCTGGTCGCTATAAGTCTCAATGGCGGGAGTGGTACACGTGGAGCCGTCAGTCGACTGTGGTAGTAGATACACTACAAGGGCTACAACAATATGAAGTGGTGGAAAAGTATAGGTATTTACAATTGACTCAATATTAAAGGTGTTATATATGTATATGTAAGCAACGAAGTAATTTACAAAATTTAGCGAGCACATGGACAAAACAATGTCAAATGTTTCGAGTCAATCTGCCCATTTACCAAGATACAGTCATGCACAATTGGAAAAACATTTAGCATGGAACAATGATATCAGAAATAATTGAAAAGCTTGTGATTTATTTATATAATAATTTATATATGTATTACATATGGTTTGGTTTTCCTTGATTCCAATTGGCTAATTCCTGGTCTCAGATTCGCCAATATATAGCATATCGACCACATGTTTCTATTTTTGTCATATCGACCTAATGCACTAGAACCGGAATTTCATTCCAAAATCCACCCCCTGATTCTCATGATTGGAGATATGATATGTAATAAAATAAATACGGGCATTTGTCTCGGTCAGAACGCGTCCTCGGTCGATCGATAACCCTTTAACAGGTTCATATAATAACGTATCGACCTCGACAAAGCCCATAATTGATAAATATCTAAAACCTGTAAAACACATGCTGCTTTTTAATTTTGTGATTTATGCTGTTTAACTGTTAATTCAATGAACACGATCGCCTTTGTCTCAGTTGACAATTTGATGTTTGGCCTTAGATTAATGTTACTGTTTATGCAAACATTTAAGATGAGTTGATGTTCACCACAAGCCTCCTGATACCTGCTTGTTTGAGAATCGCTGAAATCCAAATTGTAACTATCAAGATTTTACCTGTCCTGGTCCAGACATAAATGTCCTACGTCTGAAAGTATTTATTGTGAAATGTATGAGCCGACTTTTTCACTTGAAGCAATTTCTAACATAATTGAGATGCCCTGTTCAACATGAAGGCCGCCTTCGTCTATCGCGTCCAAGCGGTTTGACCGGTAGAATGACAGATCTCAGTGATTCGATGTTGCTTTCTGGCAAGCTTTGGCGAAAACTTTTTAGACCTAAATTAGCATTCGATATTAATGATGGCTGGATAGTTAATATTAAGCATGAGTTGTCTATTCTTGGTTTGGAATATATGTTCGAAAAATAATTTACCTGTTTACGTTGCTATTAAGATTATAGAACAAAGAATTTTAGATAATTGTAGACAGAATATGTTAGCAAATGTATCAAGGTCATCTAAAGGTTATCTATATACCAGCACCTTATTAAAAGTGTTTGTCTTCAATTTTACTTATGTAAATCAATAGAAACAAAGTACAAACGTCTTATTACATGTTTAAGATTGTCGTCTCATAATTTAA